CCCCCCCTCTCTCTCTCACACACACACACACACACACACACACAAACCCACCCACCCACCCCGACCTCTGGAAAGAGACTGTTCACCAAGTCTCCTTATCAGGAATTCACTGACCATCTTGTGAAAGCCCACACCAGAGTCTCTGTTCAGGGAACCCAGGCTCCAGCTGTGGCCACCACATAGGGGTTTTTATGCAAGATAAATGAAGTGAATTAAGTCTGTTTAAAAAAAAAAAAAGGCCAGGCAGTGGTGGTGCACCCCTTTAATCCCAGCACTCGGAAGGCAGAGGCAGGCAGGTAGGCAGGTAGATCTCTGTGAATTTGAGATCAGTCTGGTCTACAAGAGCTAGTTCCAGGACAGCCTCCAAAGCCACAGAGAAACCCTGTCTTGAAAAACCAAGAAAAAAAAGGTGGAACTCAATAAAGGAAGACATCCAACACCAATCTCTGCCTTACACATGTACATATAAAAAGAGAAACATATATATATCACATACATCAAAAATGATTCCCCATCTATGATGCATCTAATATCTATTCTTCATGAGATAAATGTAATAAACCTAACATGATTGCCTTTAGAGTTTATAAGTATCTCAATAAAAAAAGAAAACAAGCTTTTTTGCTTCTTGGAAACAGGGTCTAACTAGGTAAGCCAGGTTGACCTACAACCTATAATTATCCTGCCCTACTTCCTGAGCACTAGAAATAAATCTTTTAAAAAAAAATTGTTATTTATCTATTAGGTATACAGTGCTCTCTGTCTGCATGTATCCTGCAGGCCAAAAGAGGGCACCAGATCTCATTATAGATGGTTGTGATCCACCATGTGGTTGCTAATAATTGAACTCAGGAAGAACAGCCAGTGCTCTTAACCTCTGAGCCATCTCTCCAGCCCAGAAATAACAATGTTTTTTAAACATTTTATACCAAAATAACTACAACTGACATAAAACTGTACTTTTAAAGTTTCAATTCAAGTCCATCAGTAAGTATTTAAAGCAACTGTTATGTACTGGGAAGTTAGATACTAGAGTTGTACTAGATTTCAAAGCTTTAGTCATATAGCACCATTTCCCTTAATGCTTTTGACAGCTACTCTTACTATCTTCCTGGTTAGGCTCTACTGCAAATTACCTCATGCAAGAACGGCACCTCATCTCTGGCTCTGTGGTACTCAGCCACACACTCTAAGCAGTAGCAGAGGTCTTCATCAGCTGTTTGAAATTCACTCGATCCAGTGCTAGATGCATAGCACTTCAGAACATCAACGGTGGAAGTACCACCTGGAGTACACCAACAGCAGGTGCTCATTCTGTACCTAGAACAGTAAAAGAGGACACTTGTGATCCAGTCATCTAAAAAACTGCTTCCAGAGCCAAAATGTTCTGCTGGCCATTTTATCAAAACTGAGTAAACCCAAATCTGAAAGGAGGGCAGGGGTGAAGCATAGTAACAGAGTACTTGTCTCACATGTAATCCATGGATTTGATCCCCAACATCAGCAAAAAAAAAAAAAAAAAAAAAAAAAAAAAAACTGAACACAGGCTGGAGAGATGGCCTAATGGTTAAGAGCACTGGCTGTTCTTCCAGAGGTCCTGAGTTCAATTCCAGCAACCACATGGTGGCTCACAACCACCTTGAGTGAGTCTGGTGCCCTCTGCTGGCCTACAGAGCACATGCAGACAGAAGACTGTATACATAATAAATAAAATCTTAAAAAAAAAACCAAAAATCTGAACACATTCTGTTAGTCTCAACACCTTAAGGGGTATACCATTATGTGCCAAATGGGTTCAAACTACACAGTACTGATGCAAAGCCAGAAAAAAACACAAATTAATGCCTTCTAGCCGGGCATTGGTGGCTCACGCCTTTAATCCCAGCACTCGGGAGGCAGAGGCAGGGGGATCTCTGTGAGTTCGAGCCCAGCCTGGGTTACAAGAGCTAGTTCCAGGACAGCCTCCAAAGCCATAGAGAAACTCTGTCTCCTGTCTCGAAAAACCAAAAAAAAAAAAAAAAAAAAAAAAAAAAAAGATATACACTTCAGAGTATCCCAATAACTTAAAAAGCTAATATGTTTTCATATTCCTAAAAAGTAGTTCTAGAAAGTTCCACACATTAAAAAATTCATATAAATCTATAAGAAAAAGTAAGATATAAACAAATTTCTCTATAGTCTCTTCAACCCACTGCTCTTCAACCCACTATTAAACTCCCAATAGCTACAAATGGTTGCTATCAAGTTTTTTTTTTTTTATACGATCTCATTCAACCTTCACCATCCAAACTCCAATTTAAAGGGTTTTAAGATGATCTTCCAAATCCTAGCAGTCTCTAAAGTACCAAGAATAAAAAGATTACTCCAAACCTACATAGAAACCCTGTCTTGGAATAAATTAATTAATTAACTAATTAACAGAAAGCCCACTGTAGCTAGATTAAAAGCAAATGTGTGCCCTGATACAGATTAAATACATAGGTTAAGGCAGGGAAAATGAAGAATGAGTCAGGAGGATCCAGAACTGCCCCAATCTAAATGAAAAAGCTCCATATAGTTAAAACTGAAACAATTTAAACAGGATAAATAATACTGAATAATAAGACAATAAATCAACACAATTTAATTATAGTAATAAACATAAATGAATAAAAAATGAGACCGAAGGGACACACTTTCCCTAAGAATTCCAAATAATAGCAGTTATATCCTGTTGAAGGAGATGGAATCCCTCAGGTGGAGCCCCTTAGACTATGAACTATTTACTTATTTAAGTAAAATACTTATTTAGTATACACTATCCTGCCTGCATGTATGCCTGCAGGCCAGAAGAGGGCACCAGATCTGTATAGATGGTTGTGAGCTAGACGTAGTTGCTGGAATTGAACTCAGAACCTCTGGAACAGCAGCCACTGCTCTTAACAGCCAAGCCATCTCTCCAGCCCTGGACTAGGCTTCTTAAATTGTTTCCAAAAACAAAAATTTAGAAACAAAACACACACACACACACACACACACACACACACACACACACACACACACTTTCTGATTAGCCAAATGAAGGAAAAAGTTACAAGTATCACTGTAAATGTCTTTATAAATTCATTTCATAAACTCCATGGCACTAACCCATGCATACTTATCAGGTGGTATCACTCTTAAAAGCTAATCTGACACAAAAGTTTACTCCTGTATAACAGAAATATATGCATACATTACACAAAGACTGTATTTATTGATAGCCCTAAATTTCATGAAAATAGCAATTAGGAAAAAAAAAAGCAGCAGGTGAGTTCAAGGCCAGCCTGTCGTACACAGTAGAGTTCCAGGAATAGTCAAGGCTAGGTAGAGACCCCGTCTTAAACAAAACAAAAAACAAAAAACAAAAAAATCCTCATGATTAGATAACTACTGCTGTGGAAGAGGTCCAGAGTTCAATTCCCAGCAGCTATGTCAGGCAGCTCACAACTCCCTGTGACTCTAGCTCCAAAGGATCTGACACCTCTGGCCTTGACTCCTGTACTCCTCCTCTCCTACACACACACAAATATTTTTAAAAAATGGTTACTTTTACACCTACTTCTGAAGTATACTTTCTTCACACTTCTATACAATTTTAGAGTAGCTTTCAACATTAAAATACAGACAGAAAATGATGTTTAAAGATGAGTTAAAAAAAAAAAAAAAAAAAAAAAAAAAAAAAAAGGCCTGGCCTTGGTGGTGCACACTTTTGATAGCAGCACTCGGGAGGCAGAGGCAGGCACAGATCTCTGTGAGTTAGAGGCCAACCTGGTCTACAGAGCTAGTTCCAGAACAGCCTCCAAAACAATAGAGAAACCCTGTCTTGAAACCCCTCCCACTCCTGCAAAAAAAAAAAAATGGAGAGATGGCTCAACCATTAAAGGCTAGGCTCACAACCAAAAGAAAAAAAAAAATTTAACTGGGTATTACTGCCACCCATTCCATTTCTAAACCTTTTTGTCACCTTGTTCTTTCCCCTCTTGCTTTGCTTCATCTGAGTCCTAACATCTGTCCTTTTCAGTATCACTGAGTCTTGGTATACTTTCATCATTTCCTTAAATTACTGAAGAATTCTTATCTCTGCCTCATCCAACCCATCTCCAATTCTTCCTACAAAACGTTGCCCAGAAATTACTCAACAAATTATTCCAAAGCACAGGTTAAGTCCTCCAGTTTGCCGATAAAATTCCTAGCACTGAGCTCCACATACATGCTGCCATAATCTTGCTTCATTCTCTTGCTATACAACTCCCACCTCCTACATTTTCTCTGCCTAAAACTCAAATGTTTCTGGCATTCCTTGACAGCAGCTCTCCATCTGCCTTCATACCTCGACACAGCTCTTAATATTAGGAACACAAACCATCAAGTTGGTAATATAATACACTCCTTTAGTGAGTCTGAAAGAACACCTGCTGAGACCAGTATACAACACAACCTTGAATATCAGCAATCTGGGAAACCTGTCTCTCTTCCAGGGTCTTTGAGAATCTCCTCTATCCACGTTTTTATTGCCTTGTTTCTTGATCAAGGTGGTTTGGATTTCTGTTTACTTGTCTGCCCCTACATCAGCAATTGGAATGTCAGAGTACAGACCTACTCTCGATACTTATCAAAAAATTGAAAAAGAAGTTATTGTTTTAAAAAGACAATTACCTTGGCAAAACGTCCTACAGAGAAGTGATCCTCTTTGTTGAGATTGCTGGGCTTATTTGTGAATAGATGAGGCTCTGCGTTCAGATATACTCACACTTTGGCCCCCAAAAAGAACATTTCTGAAATTAAAAATGAAATAAAAAATGATAAACTGTCCCTTACATTAAGCATCTCACCTGGGCCTTGCATCAACCTTGAGTGTCACCTGATGAGTTACCTCGGTCAGGTTAGACGACACATCCGCAGACAAACTACGGTGCATGAAGGGGAGCGCTGTAACACTGATGCCCTAACTTCTCCAGGGGCTGTTACCCCTCGGGGGGCCCGGTGGGCATTTGGTCGTGTCTGCGGTGGGCGTGCTGGAGGCCATCAGCACTGCAACGCCTGGGGTCGAGGGACGCGCGTCCCGATGCCCGTGCGGAAGCGACGCCAGGGCGGAGGGCTACATCCTGCCGGCCCCTTCCCCGGGAGACCTCCCTCGTCCCGAGGCCCTGCTCAGCGCCCTCGCCGTGCATCGCGGGCCCAGAGCCGGCGGCGCTGAAGCCTGAACGGCAGGGCTCCCGCGGCGGGCCTGGCGTGCGTTAAGCACCAAGCTCAGCCCGCCCGAGGCCGCTGCAGCTCCTGTAGCTCGCTGCTCTCCCGAAAGAAG